TTTTTATGAAAATTGTCAAAAATAATTCTGCAATTATCAACAATAATAGTAGTATCAAGAAAGTTTAATCTGTTATCACTGCCAATCTCCATAGTGAATTGCAATCTTCTATGTAAGGAATTAAAAGTATTAAGTGTGTCATCTACACTATCAGGCGGAATAGCAAGAACAATGTCATCAACGTATCTATAATAGAACAATGGTTGTGCCGACAAACAATTAATAGCTTGTTCTTCCAAGTCCTGCATTACTATATCTGCTAAAATTGGTGAAAGTGGTGAGCCCATATAGCTTGGTGAAAAATTTGGTCTTCCTATTTGCGTCTGATAAGATCAGTTCCATCTTAGATATATAGCTATCTTTATTCAGTAAAACAGTGACATTTCCTTTGTCGGCATTAGTAATAAGTACGTTAGAATGTTCGTTTATAAATTTTTTAGTTAAGTGTAACCACTCTAAAATACTTTTTTCAATAAAACTTGGTGAAGGAAAATTGTTATGAAGTCTGTTAAGAATGGGAATAGAGTTATTCCTGACATAATTCACAATATTATCGGGACGGCCCTTAATATTACCTTCAATATGTTTAATGAATTCAATAATCGTTTTTTCTTTGTTGTATCTATTAATAGGAAGACCAAATTTTTCACCAAGCTATATGGGCTCACCACTTTCACCAATTTTAGCAGATATAGTAATGCAGGACTTGGAAGAACAAGCTATTAATTGTTTGTCGGCACAACCATTGTTCTATTATAGATACGTTGATGACATTGTTCTTGCTATTCCGCCTGATAGTGTAGATGACACACTTAATACTTTTAATTCCTTACATAGAAGATTGCGATTTACTATGGAGATTGGCAGTGATAACAGATTAAACTTTCTTGATACTACTATTATTGTTGATAATTGCAGAATTATTTTTGACAATTTTCATAAAAAAAACATTCTTAGGTAGATTCCTTAATTTCCACTCCAACCATCCTATGAATCATAAAAAAGGCATTATTATTAGTTATATTGACAAGATTTTACTTTTATCACATCCTCAGTTCCAACAAAAGAATATAACTGAAGCCATAAAAATTTTTTTAAACAATTCCTATCCTCTTTCCCTTATATTCTCCACCATTGATCAAAGAATTAAATATCATATACATAATCAACATAATACTCATAATTTTCAAGTAAAAGATAAATATTTCACAATACCTTACGTTAAATCCATATCTGAAAGCTTCCTTCCCATTTCCAGTAAGTTTCAATGTAAATTAGCCTTTTCAATTCCTAACACTTTAAGAAGTTTTATTAAAAGAGGTAAAGATAAATTAGAACATTGTTCCAATAACAATGTTATTTATAAGATTACCTGTGATGATTGTGAGGCCAGCTACGTTGGTCAGACTAAAAGAAAACTTGGTACTAGACTAAAAGAACATATGTCTGATATCAGAAAAAGAACAGGTTCTCCTTCTGTTATTACTGACCATCGTGTTAACTTTGACCACAATTTTAAATGGGATGATGTCCAAATTTTAGACATTGAATCGTCTTATAATAAGAGATTGGTGTCTGAAATGATTCACATCAAAAGGCAAAAACAGGGTCTTAATAAACAAAATGATACAGAGGCTTTACCAGAATCTTATTCTCAGATTATAAACTCTCTTTCTCCTTCGTAAATTTCCTTATCTTTGTCACTTTTATTCCCACTTTATTACATTTTTACCCCTTCCTAATTTTCCCCTTATTTCCATTTGTATTTCCTTTGTACTTGAGATGTTCGGTTATTCTTACTTTAAATTGTTTATTGTTAACATCTATAACTCTCTCTTCGCATTTTTCTAACTCATTTTAATTATAATTGTATTTCGATACAATTACAAGGTAATTAATTTTTTTTTAATTTAATTGTTACTAAATTAACTATATAGATATGATGTACGTACAATATGTTGTAATTTTACATTATATTCATCAATTTATTACTTTGAGAATTGACTCTCTTTACTGATTTATAATTGACTCTTACATTATATTCATTTTTTTACTGATACTGTATTTTACGATTTTATTTGATTCTTTTTACTGATTGATAATCGACTCTTACATTATATTCATTTTTACTGATACTGTATTTTACGATTTTATTTAGAAATGTGGAGTAGTTCATAAACTATATAATTGGACGATTGCTTTGCTTGTTGGACTCTCGCTGGTGTACACGATATGATTATGCACTGTTATGTTATGCGAGTGAGATTGAACTTTTATATTAAACAATTTTTATATTTATATACATATTTATTTTGCGTTTTTAATTTTATAATATAATAGTTTGTACATCGTTAACGATTTTGCGTTTTTTAACATTGAAAATGACCTAATGAAGGTTGAAACGTTTGTTTTTGAATTTTATTAAATTTTATATTTATTTTTAACTAATGACTGTTTATTGCTAAGACCTTTGTAATTTAACTAATATTTGGCTCGTAGCCCTATTTTATATTGATTGATTTTTAAA